GACGCAGGGCATGGCCCCTTCCCCCAAACCACAAAATAATCAAATATCCTACCTGTATCAGATCGGCACGTGAACGCCCGTGGCGCGACGATACTTCGACTCAGCTTGGCCGCCCATTCCCGTCGCGCCAGCTCGCCAGGCGGGGCGCCCCAGTCGCCCCCCGCAGCGAAGGGCCCCCCAAGAGAATGCAGGAACTCCCCCAGACGCGCCAACAATAGGGACCGCCCGCCCCGCATGGGGACTCTTCAGCTAAGTGCAAGGAAACTGCCACGAAGCCTCCTGGAACCAAGGCGTTGACCCAGCGACCCGACGGGCCAGCGCTCGACGCGGCTCAGGCATGCCTGGCCAGGGCCCCGGGGCGGCACCCCAATGCGAACTCCTCCAGAGACCCCATCCTCACGAGCGATCCTGCCCGGGCTCAGAGAGACAAGAAAATCTTGATACCCCAACTGCTTATTGCGCCGATCTTGCTCCTCTGGCCGGACGGCAACCCCTTGCAGAAGATAGAGCCGCGCGCCTTTACCTTTGCGAACCTCACCCCACGACTCAAAATAGGCAAGAGCAGACCTCCACGACGTGGTGCTGGCCGTCCGAATAACTAACTCGTCTCGCCCCCGGTCAAACGAAGGCGCGAAAGGGGGGCCGGGCCCCCGCCGTCTTTGCCGACAACTGCCCCCGCCAGAACCCCGCCCGCCAAGGGCCCCTTCAGCGAGCGCAGAAACAAATGCATCGCGATTGACTTGGAACCCTGCAGGCACTGCACGAGGCGGCCCCTCGCCAGCATATCGCAATACTTCTCACGCTCCGCAGCAGGGGCTCGATCCCCTAGAAAACTGCGCATCTGCTGACGAATCCGAATGAACTGAAACCAATGCTCCACAGTACCCCCCCCCCCCCCCCCCCCCCCCCCCAACAAAAAATAATAACGATGGGGTCTTGCTGAACCAACCAATCCAGATAACGCGACATGCCCCGTCTCAAACGCCCAGATCGCTTCCAAGACGCATGACGGATATCCTCTTCCAACTCGAGCTGGATTCGACCCTGCAGCACTTGCAGCGCCCAACTGGACCGCGGCCAACTCCAGAACTTCTCTCGAACAAACGGCGCGCACCACTCCATCTAGCAGCCCCAACCCGATTCGGCATGGTCAAGCCTGGCAATCCACCTCGCAGCTGCAGGCACGATACCTGCCAAGAAAGCTCCCACGGCGCGGAAGGGTCTGGCTCGGGCGGCGGGCGCGCCACGGCAGCAGGCGCTGCATGCTCTTACACACGCTGGCGCGCGCGCACGGCACATGCCGCAGCCGATCGTAGGAGCCGGAAAAACCACATAAAGGAATTTCACACAAAGGGTTTTGGCACCACCAACGGTGCAACGCATGTGCACACATGCGACTGGATCCCCAGCGATCCGAACCAGGGTTTATGCACGGCCGCGCTCTAGGATGCAGTTGACATCCATGGTGTGGCAAGGCTGTCGGCGGCGACTAGATCCCCAAATCCGCTACAAACTCACATTCCATGGTGGTTTGGCACAGCCAAACCACCGTGCAACGTTAGCTTGTTCATCCGTTGACAGCAGAACGCGCGGCGGAAACAAAACGCAGTAGCGCGCGCGGGCATGCAGGGCCGGCGACGTGGCTGGCCGGCTGCCAGCGCGACTCTGGCAAAAGAGCCGACATCCACGCAGGATCGTTTTGGGCGCGGTATCCGGCGCAACTACATCGCACTGCCAGGCGCCGCGGCCTTGTGATTGTAGCGCCAGGCCCCGTGCGTTCCTCGAGGCTGGAAAAGCAAGGCCCACACAAAGGAATCGCGCGTGCTCTTGTGGGGGCGGCGAAGACGGTCGCACACAAAGGAAATTCCTTTGCGCGCACCCCGCACTGGCAGTTTAACCAGACCGCACACAAAGGAATTACGCGAGACTTCGTGGTACACAAAGGAATTCCAGCAACGCCCTTTGGGTTGCGCTCTTCGCGCGCGGCGACAGCTCCGAGCTGGAAAGGAAGGGGGGGCGGGACAAGGCAAAGCATGGGAAAAGGAAAAAGAAGAGCAGGGCGACAAAGAAGCGAAGGAAGCAACGGAAGGAAACCAGGGTGCGCGCAAGCGAAGTCAACACAGCGCGCCGAGACAGTTGTTCGTTCGTTCGGTTGGCCGTGCGGCAGATGAATCGAAAAAGGACTGTTTGCTGCCTATCGAATGGACTTTTTGGGAATGAGACTCGCGCTCTCTTCCCAACCCCCTTTCCCACACCCCGTTGCGAACGCGCGACGATTTATTCTGGCCCGCGGGCGGAGGACTGCCAGTTGCTGGTGAGCGGTCTTTCCACCCGTCACGCGTTCCGAACACATGCGACCAGCTAAACGCACTTGCCACGCAAACCGCCAGCTCCAAAGACCGTCGCCACACCGATCCCCGCATCCGTACCAGGTACCCTCTCAACGACGCTCCCTTCCGGCGTAAAACCAATAAAACCCTTTGTGATTATGTGTTTTTCCTGTTCTGAGATCGAGGCGCAGAAGATGAAGCACATGGAGCGCCCTCTGCCGAGCCTCCGGCGAGACTCGCGCCGCGGGAGCGCGGGCCACGGAGGCCTTCCCACGGGGCCATTACCCTCTCGGGCAAGATGGCAAGGGAGCGCCCAGGCGCGCGCGACGAACAGAATCCAGTAGATGCCGAAGTAGACGTCGCCACCAAAGGAGACGCCGAAGCCCCAACGAGACTCGCCCCGCGGGAATGCTGGCCGAGGTGGCCCATCCACAGGGCCGTCGCCATCTCGGCCATGGCGAGCGAACGCCCCGGTGTCCACCATGGAAAAAGCTGCCGAAATCGAGGGCAACAAAGAAGGCCAGGCTCCCGCGGCATCTTCTGCCGAGCCTCCAGCGAGCCACGCGCCGCAATCTCCCTGCCCGCGGTCTTGGCTCGAAGACCGACCTGCGGCGGGCCTCGCCCACGGGGCCGCCGC